TATTGTTCGCAAACAAACACACAATCACAGACACAACCCATTTAACTGCTTCTCCCATGTGTCTCGCTGAAACACAACAACCTGAGCTTACCTACACTCTACGCTGTTTTTATTTTTATTTTTTACACGTTCGCGTCGTTCTGTAATTTGAAGGAAATGTGTTCATTTTTACGAAGAAGCTAATTGGAAATGCTSGTGTGCGTTCGTGCCCTGGAGAGCTGCTGTTTCTCACCGGGGAGCCCGTCCAGCTCTCAGGCCAAATGTAGCTGCGATGAGGGTTTAATGTGGCAGAAAACGGCTCGTCCACTTGGAGCGTTCTGTGTATTAATGAGACTTTTTTTTTTTACAGATTATGTGCGTTTTTAGGGTTTTAAATGTATTTATGCAAGCACTTATTGCAAGGTTGTGTTTTATTGAGTTGAATAAAAGATATTTGTCCTCTTCTTACATGTGATGGAGAATTAAAAAAACACAAGTTTGATTAATCATCCTGAGTCTGGGCTTTGTTCTGRTAATTATATCCTATAAAAATGTAATGAATCAATGTAAGAGAAGCAGAATGGGTTTTATTTCATCATCTTTTCAATATTTTAGCAAAGGAGGTAAGATTTAGTTCCACGTGTGTGTAGAAGAGATTCAACAGTTTGTCATAGTTGATGAAAACAACTAAATCCAGTTAAAACAGCTCTTAAAACATAAAGGTTTAAWATAAGATAAAAGAAGCAAAAAGTTGAAAAAGTAACCAAAATTGCTTAATGGAACAAAAAGCTACATAAAAACTGAATTAAATGGAACAATAACTACAACTAAAAGAAGCAAAAAACTAGCTATTTGTTAAATTTAGCAGATTGATAGCTAAAAGCTTAAAGAAACAAAAGGCTAGCTAAAATTTAAAAGTAGCAGAAATGAAGGATAAATGCTAAAAGTAGCAAAATGCTAGGTAATTGCTAAATTTAGCAGACTAATAGCTCAAAGGTTAAAGAAACAAAAGGCTAGCTAAAAACTAAAAGTAGCTAAAAGCTAAATGTATGATTGATAAAGCTAAAAATAGCTAAATTTATTAGTTGAATTTATCAGACTGATAGATAAAAGCTAAAATGACAAAAAGGCTACCTAAAAGGAACAACAAAACTAGTAGATGTACGTAGTAGAATAATAATGAAAAGCTAAAAGTACCAAAAGGTTAGCTAAAAGCTAAAGTACCAGAATGATGTTAAAAGCTAAAAGTAACCAAGGGTGAGCTAAAACCTAAATGTAATAGAATAATAACCAAAAGCTAAAACAAACAAACAAACGGCTTGCTAAAAGGAGAAAAGAATAGCTCAAAACTTTATGTAGTAGAATAACAAAAAGCTAAAATTTGCAAAAGGCTAGCTAAGAGTAGCAAAAGGCTATATAATTGCTAAATTTAGCAGACTGATAGCTAAAAGAAACAAGAAGCTAGTTAAAAGCTAAATGTAGTAAAATGATAACCAAAAGCTAAAAGTGGCAAAATACTGTATTAGCTAAAATTAGTAAGGTTAACTAAAATAGTAAARTAGCACAACAGCAGATAAAAGCTAAAAGTAACAACAAAAGTACAAGAAAACAAATGTAGAGTAAATACKCTGGTTTCAAAGTGAAGAGATCTGAATATATTTATGAATAAAAACATTTATAAAGYCACCCTGCTTTGTAAAACTTTTCAGTTTTTTTACTTCTGTCTCTTCAGCTCACATTAAAAATTAGTTTTTGTGGTGTTTCAGTTTTTTCAGTTTTGTACACTGAACAAATCTATTGAAAAAAATCTTAAATGTTTTTCTGCTGAGTTTGAGCCAAGATATGAATCAGCCTCTAGTAGTTGAACACATGTGGATCCTCTTTTTCAGAGACAACAGGCACCAAATTATRAACCTCTTCAGAAGAAACGGAGCGAAATCCTAACTCCAGGCAGATGTTTTTTGTAGTGTTTCCATTATAAATCTATTACTAACCATCCTCCTCCTGATCCCTGCATGGCCCTGTTCCTGAGCACCTCTCTGACCTCCTCCGTTCTTCCATTTCATCCGTGACGCTGGCTTCTTCTCCATCCTTTACTCCCAGACTGCAAACTTTCCATGACGGAGCTTTCAGTGTTGCAGCTCGAGCCTTTGGACGCTCTCACAGCTAATATTTGCTTCATCCCTGGATAGAATCTTAAAACTCCTTAAACATGATTTATTCAACAAAGCCCAGAGTCTAACCCAGATTTTCCCTCCAGCAGACTCTGAACGATTGGTTCTGGTTCTAACATCTCTGTCCAACATTCCAGGGTCTACATGAAAGGTGCTATATAACATGAAGAGGTTTTAATTATTAAAAATACACAGATTAGGACCTCTAGAATTACTGTCATATCTAGATAACTGTAATGTCAATAACTTGAACTAAAGTAGATTTTGTTTGAATTTTAGTGGAAACAGGCAGCTCAGTGAGGTATCAACTTTTGCTGTGAAAGCAAACCAAAAAGAGTAATCAAATTAAGTCATAATTAAAGTGTTATACACAAAAAAACTGCTAATTTGCAGCAATGTTACACAAATGTGTCAATTTATTTGCAGCGATAAACGTCTGCAGTGGGATTGCAAGTAGAAAATTTGCATATTTTCTTACATCAGRCTGTTWGGTAGGATTYTGGAAGAGGRCGKTGATCAACTGTGTGKTTTTTTTGGCTTCGTAAAATCACTGCGGTCACCCTTACGCTGCTTAACAAGTTTACGAAATTTACGCGACGTAAAAAGAATACAACTCTTGGCGAACCTGAAAGTCGGCAGGGGGCGTCCTGGGGCGTCGCCATCTGAAAGAACAGGGCACCCCTCTGTCTTAGAGCATTTAAAAACAACGTTGAAAAAAAAAAAAAAAACAACGTTGACCAAAGTCCTTCAAAAGGAGGTTAAGAACTATTGTGAKAAACCAACAGAAAAATAAATTAAATGAAAATAAAACAGCTGTAAAAATACAGGCTGAACCCTCAGGGGTCACATTATTAGGATTCATGTCATCGTTGTACCGTCAGAGGTGGTCTTAAAGGTTTGGCAGATTGGTTTTATTTTGTATTTTAAGCATGGCTCTATTCAGAGTTGAGTCAGTTTGTTGAGGCTGTAATTCTAACCAGAATGAGCTGAAATCACGTTCAAAGGAAACTTCAGAATGACTCACTTTGTGTTCGGACTTATGGTTTGTGTTAGGTCGGTTTGTATTGAGTGAGTTTTGATCAAATGCTTTTTATGCCTCAAGGCTTTTTCTTTGCTCGCGATTGTATAAATATACCCAGATGATCGACTTCTATAGGTTCTCTTTAACATTTGTAACACCTTTGCCGTCATCAAATCTGGTTTCTTCTTTGGATTTCACTTTGAGGGACAGAAGAATGATGAYGTCCCGTTCAACAAACGCTGGACGTTCTTTTTTTCTCCTTCCAAGTTTAAAGAAAACACGCTGGAGACTCACCCAGAGGAGCCTGGTGGGAGTCAGAGGGAAAATCTCATATTTAATCTAATCAAAGGACTCATCAGAGGCTGGAATTAATCAAATCTATCCGGGAGAGGAGCTTTGAACATAAAAATATGGAAAGAGAGCGTGGAGGCATTTTGAGYGAAGAAGAGGATATGATTGGACATAATGAATGTCTCGGTGTTAGACAATAAGAAATGGGGTCTAAATCACCTTTATTTTCCTCGGAGCTGAGAGAGCCCTCCTTCTGTCTGTGCATTAATATCAAAGCAGTTCACTCCAAGTCTAATTTCAGCTTTTTGATGGGACTGAAATGGACCAGAACTCTTTCCGGAGTTTGTCGAAGTTTACTCGTTAAAAGTTAAATACATATCTGAAAGTTTACATCTATACCAGAGGGATATCTGATGTAAATATAAACAACTTTTAGAGAGTTCAGTAATAAACACTCAACGTTTTAAAAACCTCGTGGTTTAATTGGTGACTAAAGATTGACCAAATATTGTGAGAAAATTTACATTTATTTCATTCCTGTCTCATTTAAGTCTGTACAATTTTGGGAAAAAACTGACATTGCAATATATTTTTATACCCCTGCGATATACACTGAAAAAATACAGGAATTTTCAACAAATGACTTGAATAACACTTTGTTGTGTTCTCCCTTTATGATTTTGTTGATGTAAACTATTGTGTTAGCTTGATTCTTGCAGTGTCTTTGGGTTTTAAGAAAAACACTGAGTATGTTTCCTTCTATCGCGCAAACATGAATTGCGTTTCTTAGTTTCTGTTTTCCGTCGTGCTTTAATATTAGCCTTCATGCTAACCGTATTTTACCTTGTTTCCACCAGTTCTCTGCAAATTCCTTGTTTTAGTCCAGAATTCGTTGACACTTCTCTGAAAAATTCTCTTCTTCTCAGAAGATTATTTTCTTCTTCTTCTACCTTTTATATTATTTGATTTGTATTTTTTGTTGTATGTAAATTTTATTTTATTTTGTAATGAAATGAATTGCTTTGTTTTTAAATGAAATGGATAAATGAATAATGTCAAAAATTTTGCCGTTATTGTCCCAAAAGTTTCACAACAAAATAGTTTCTACATTTTTTTGTACAAAGTCGCCGTGCCAGCTGGTGGAATCAACTCATTAAAATAAAAGTCGTAACACTCGACTGATTAGTCCCTAAACGATGCTCAAACAAAATATCTTGAAGCTTTAGTGTCACTTTGCTGTGCAGCCATGTTTATGTGGATAATGTTTGAAAATCACATTTAGCAAAACTGCATTCTGGGTCATGCACACTATTGTTTCTGCGCACTTCGGCTCTTTTTATTGCCAGCTCAGTGACTGGCTGCCCCCACATTTATGATTTATTGAAGTACACTTTTGAAATGAAATATGTATTTTTTTAATAATTTCCGTGGAGATTTTTTAGACCTAAGTATGCTTTCTGTCAGAGTACGGGTCTGGAGCAGGGTTATTATTGTTAACTAAAACTAACTCCATCTTTTTGTTGTTTCTCCTCCAGCTGATAGCGGTATATGACGAACAGGAGCCCCACCACGGAGGCGATGGCACCAGCGCCAGCTCCACGGGGACGCAGAGCCCCGACCTGTTCGCCRCAGACCTGAGTGGCGGCAGCGCGGCCTCAGCCTTTCATCCCTACCAGGCCACCAGCGAGATCGAAGTCACGCCTTCGGCTCTGCGCACCAGTAAGTCCTCACCCACCAGAATTTAAAAAAAGGGTTTAAATAAAAAATGTATGTTCTGGGTAAGAGGTCACGGGGTTACGGTCCACTGTTCATTAAAGAGCTGCAGCATTACTTTTAAATGATAAACACTCGAGTCAGTTCTTGTCGCTTTAAACTCATTGTCCTCATCGAGTCAAATGTCAGCAGCTACAGTAGTTTAACAGAAAACCCAACAAATCACCTCATCACCTCTCGCTGGAGCTTTGTCCATAAATTCAGTTAATTGGACAGGAGCTCCCTTTTTTCAGGCGCAGTTCACAGTTTGATCTGCTTCCAAAGTGGCTAATTGGTTCAATTCGCWGCCCCCTAAATCAAATTTGACACTGAGCGCGGTCACCTCTGTGGTTCTCCCGGCCAGGTCGCTTCTTTTAGTCTAATTACTGAGAGTGTGGACAAGAAGCAGGCTTTTGTTACTGATCTGACACTTCGGATGAAGCAGAACCTTTTTTCAGTACAGACAGAAGAAAACAAGAAACAAAATGTATTAAAAGTTAGAAAAAAGATTCAGGTAACATATTTCCTCATATTTAACTGTGTTCAGAAAATGCTTTTACTAGGGTGGTGTATTGGCAAGAATTTGATATGATACATGACGCAGGGGTCACAATACGATATATCGCGATTTTACGATATATCACGATACTGTAAGCAAATATATTGCCATTTTTTCCCCTCAAATTCTAATTAAAAAACTTTTTTATATGATTCCTCTTAATGCTAATGTTTGAGCTAGCAGTATAGTCTCTGGCTGTGTCCAAAACGGCAGGCCGGGTCCTCCGAAGGCCGAATTCGTCGGCCGCATACGTCACAGCGCCGCGACGAAGGACGTCCAAAACTGAAGACTCCTCCGATGCCACTGACAAATACGTCCTTCCTTTGGCCCGAATCGAAGGACAGGTCTGATGAATCCTTCCCTGCCCAGCATATCCCATAATGCATTGCGGCCCGACCAGAGATTTTTTATGCTAGTAATGGCGGACGAAGCGAGAGAAAAGAATACGTTTTAAATTAAAATATGGTGATATAAAAAT